TTCATCCTCCTTCCCTTCTTTTTCCTTTCTCCCTGCATCTCTTGATACCCTTCTCATTCAAAAACTATCTCTCTACTTATCTTTTATTTTGCTCTTATTTGTAATTTGAGTTTCTCAAAAGAGAAACCATGCAATATTTAAGCTTGTATGTTTATTTCACTTAATATTATGTTCTCAAGGTGAATCCATTTTCCTATAAATGACTTGTTTAATTTCTTTATGATAGGATAGTACTGTATTGATTATAATGCAGTAGTCCACCAATTATATTTATCCATTCGTCTGTTGGTAGATATATAGGCCACTTCCAAGATTAGCCATAAACATGGGTATGGGTATATCACTGTAACATGGTATTTTTAACTCCTTTAGAAGGGGAATAGCCAGGTCAAGTGACATTTGTAGTTTTAGTTCTTTGAGAAATCTCCATACTTATTTCCATAGCAATTGTACTAGTTTACTTTCCCACCAATGTAGGTTTCCTTTTTCTTGCAGCCTCATCAGCATTTGTTACTTGATTTCTTAATGATGGTTGTTTTCTTGGTCTTGATTTCATTTTTGATTTTTATAATTTCTGTCCTTGAACTATCTTTGGGTTTTGATTGTTCTTGTTTTTCTGGAACCTTAAGATGTATCATTAAGTTATTTTTTTGTAACTCACTCTGATTTTGTGATGTGTGCATTCTCAGCTGTCAGCTCTTCTCTTAGGACTGGTTTTGTTGTGTCCCATAAGTTCTGGTATGTTGTACCGGCACTGTGGTTTAGTTCTAGAAACCATCTTATTTCTTCCTTGATTTCTTCTGTAATCTATTGTTTATTTAAGAGTGTATTGTTTAGTTTGCGTGCATTTGCATAATTTGTGTTTTCTTGTGTCATTGATTTCTAATTTCATTGCAGTCTGTTCTGATAATATGCGTGGTTTAATTTGAGTTCATTTACATTTACATTAACTTGCTTTATTGGCTAGTGTGTAGTCTGTTTTGGAGAAAGTTCCATGTACTGTTGAGAACAATGTGTATCTGCTCCTCTTGGTAGATTGGCAATGCTACCAGCCTTCTGTTCTCTGCTGGGTGTAGGCCGAGGGGGGTGGTGCAGTGGGCTGGGTGTTTGGAGCTGTGGGGTCTGGCTGCTCCTGTCTCACCCAGGGTGTTGTCCTCATCAGCGATGAGTTTGGTGCGTTAGTCCTCTTCTCTGCTGCTGCGTGCTGTGGGGAAGCCAAGTGTAGAGCTGTCTTGGAGCTGGTGGGTGGTTGCTTCCTTGCGTCGGGGGCACTGCTCTTCCAGTGTGGGCCTTCTCGCTCCCGTGGGGCAGAGGCGCCCCTCATCTCCTGTACGCCAACTTACTTGCCTGGAGGAGCTCCTTTAAATAAATTGGTCATATTTCTAAATAGTTTTAAGTATTTTTCATTTGTCCGTTAGCCATTCAGAACTCATTATTGATGAAGTGTAACTCGGGTTTTCCCCCATTGTTTCTAGAGGTATGTTGCCCTGTTTTTCCCTTCAGTTTTAAAGACATTCTTTACATATTTTGAATAATCATTTGTGCAGACGTCTGCCAGTTTGTGCCTTGCCTTGTCACTTTCTTTGTATCTTTTTTGGAGAGAAGTTCTTACTTAACGTGGTTAAATGTATTGATTTCTTTCATGTTTATGCTTTTTGTTTCTTGTTTAAGAAATCTATACACTGAATCATAAAGTCTTTCTTTGCATTTTCTTTCCAAATTGCATTTCTGTAAATTGTAAGTGTTGAATGCATTGGGACGACATATATGTTGTGAAAGAATGATCTAGTTTTTCTAACTTTTTTTTTTGGTGTTGAGAATCAAACTCAGGACCTTATGTTTGCCAGGCAGGCGCTTGCGTCTCTGAGCTATATCCCTGGCCCTCTAACATTTATTAATACACTTTTATTATCTTAATACTTTTTCATGCAAGGCCTTTCACAAATCACTTTCTCAGATACAGAGAGTCCCTGATTTAACAGTATTTTACTCATGAGATACTGTGTTTGGCAGAAACTGTACATTGAATTTTGGTCTTGAACTAATGATACTCTCTAGTAAGGCTGGGCATGGCAGCCAGCCACAATCTGGTGTGCCATGCTGTACTGTGGAGTGTGTTATTAAACTCTGAGGCTTGCTATGTTAGGTGTGTTTGATGAATTTTTGCCTTAGTGTTTATTATCTGGATGCAATCACATTGTAAGTCAAAGATCATCTGTACATTTGAGTTTCTTTGTTGTTTTTAGTTGGTTTTATTCATTTATTTTTATTAGTTTTGTGATGTCTGTAGATTGCCCAACCTTTATGTTTTAGTTTAGGGATGTCCTGGCTGCTCCAGCTCTTTAATGTATGGATACAGTGAAGCTATTATATATTCCTACTTGGATTTTGATTTGATTCACATTTAAGCACTAGGTCAACTTAAGAACTGACGTTTTTGACAGTATTGAGACCATCAAAAAACATGGTTTCCTTCTCTACTGATTCAAGTCACTAATGTCTTCAAATGTAGCTTAATTGTTTTGTCCATAAAGTGCTTATATGTCTTTTTAGGATTTATTTTTATTAATTGTGTGTTATTTTATGATTATATATTATATCTTTATGAAGTCTCTTGGATTTTTTTTTATAAAAATTCAGTTGACTTTTATATACAGTACTATTTTGGCATCTGGCAACTTTGCAAATGTCCTATTCTAATAATTAATTCGTTACTTACATTCATTCATTCACCCATTCATTTATTTTTCTGGTTTTTTTTGAGATAGGTTCTTGTGTATTCCAGGCTGGCCTCAAACTCAGTAAGGAACCCTGGGCTGACCTTAAACTTGTGGCAATCCTCCTGCTTTTCAGCCTCGAGTGCTGACATTACAGGTGTGCATAGCACACTCAACATTTATTTAAATGTACTTTACTGCATTGTTTAGGGTTCTGCGTAAATAGATGAAACTTCCTTTTCCTGTTGCTGTGTAGTATATGTATACTAGCTTTTCCCACCATACTCCTTCTCCTTCTCTTTGCTTTACAGAAAGTGCTGTTTATTTTATAATCCCAGCACCTGGGAGGCTGAGGCCAGAGACTGCAAATTTGAGGCCAGCCTTAGCTACATAGTGAGTTTAAGGCTGGTTTGGAGAACTTAGTAAGATGCCATCTAAAAGAAAAAAGTGTTTGGATATCAATACAGTGTTGAATAGGAATGTATTCAGAGTGGAACTTCTTGTATTACTTCTGACTATAAAAAGGAATGCTTTCAGTGTTTTAGATTAGTGATGATTCTTATATATTTTTTGTAGATTTCTTTTATGAACTTCAGGGTGTTTCTATTTATATTCTCAAGGTATTTGAAAAATCATGAATGTAAAATTTTTAAAATGCCTTTTATTATCTTTTGAGAAGACTGTATTCCTTCTTTAATCTATTAATGTTATAAACCTAACAATATATTTTAATATTTTGTTACGTTTTTCATTAGTTTTGCATTAGTCAATTGTTCATTAAAGAGATTTATAATACAGCATAAAAATCATGTGTTTATACAACTATTTATCTTTTCTGGGATTACTTAACATTGTAGTTTCAATCTGCTGTTCTTTCCAGGTATTTACAATTCTTCCTCACACTTCTATTACAGATACCTCTCAGTAAATAATTGTTGAATGAATATACTGTAGCCTCAAGTGTGACACACGAAGTAACTCCTTTGGAGGATCTCTTATGTTGTCTTCTGGTTAATCGTATCTTCTTTTTTAAAAAAAAAACTTGTTAGTACATGTGTGTAGTACATAATGTTTACATTCATTGTGTGGACTTGGTACATGTACACAGCACATCTCAATTCCTTTTCTTATCCATTTTTGCTTCCCTCTGTCCAACCTCACTCCTTCTTTGTTTTGGTACCAGGAATTGAACTCAGGACCTTGTGCTTGCAGGCACTGTGCTGCTGAGCTGTATCCCCGGCCCTTCACTCCTTCTCTTGATTCCCTTCTACTTTGAGAAGGATCTATCTCCATACTTCCAGTTGTCTGTCTTTTATTGTACTCTCTCTAATATGAGTTTCTTAAATAAGAGAAACCATGTCGTAGTTAAGCTTGTGTGTCTGATTTATTTCACTTAACATTATGGTCTCAAACTATGGTCAAACTCAAACTCCTCTTACCAACTACCATACTTTTTCTATGTAAGGTGGAAAAATAAGTATTGAGACAGCAAAACCTTTCAGAGCTTGTTACATTCTAATCTTCACAAAATAATTTTTATGTTCTGTAAATGTAACAAACCATTTTTTCTTTTAAAAATATTCATAAATTATATGAAATAGTTGATGTTATTTCAAAGTCGTATACTGTGATTCTACTCAGCAAATCCCAAATACACGTAACTAAGATTTTACAGTTCTTTCCACAAAAATTCAACATGGTCCTCTTTTGCTTTCCTCAAAATTAATATTATTTAAAAAGTTTTCGGGACTGGGGATTTAGCTCAGCGGCAAAAGCGCCTGCCTGGCAAGCGCAAGGTCGTGAGTTTGGTTCCCGGTACTGGAGGAAAAAAAACAAAAAAAAAACCAAAAAAAAAAACTAAAAAGTTTTCTTCCAGCAGATGTTGAAGCTAAACAGTGGTCAAGAACTCTCATTTAACTCGATAAATTAACAGTATTTGTCTTCACAGAAGCAAAATGTAATTATCCATTTGAGTTGTAATATACTATTGAAGAAAACTTATTTATTTTTATAATTTTTATAAAAATTTTCAAGTAGAAAAAGAATAGTGCAATTATGTACCTGCTGCTTTAAAATTTTTATACAGTATATATTTTCTTGTATATATAAATACATGCTTTTAAATTTTTTGGGCTTGCTTTATTAGAACTATTTGAAACTATATAGCTCTTGGTACTTCATTTGTTATTATATATATCGGTGGCATAATTGTAGCTTATATATTTTGCCAAAGAATTAAAACTCCAGAATTAATAAGTCCTTGTTTTATTTTTAAATTTTTAGATAGAGAATCCCCGGTACCTGAGACAGACGCCTATCCCAGTTTCTCTGGTAGGTGAGAATTACAGTGGACTTTTTCTAGGGACAGAGTTTTTAAAAATCAAATAAGCATCAACTTTTTTTTAATAGAAAATAATATGGATCCATATTATGGAGCATAGTAGTTTTTTTAAATCCTGTCACTTGCAAGTGAATATCCCAATGTTAATAGTATTCTGTTGGGGGGGTTTCAGCTATTTTAGAAGTGTATTTTGGGGTTGAGGATGAACCTGACCTGGAAGCATACTAAATAAATGACTTATTCATTCTACAGATGACTCCCAAGTTCAGCTTGAGAAAATCCAGCAGTCTTCATGATGACCATTTTGTCTCTCGAATGCATGAGAAAGAGGTAGGGTTGAGATATTTTTAAGGTACCTGATTATTAACACAGTTTTAATAATCGTATAGTAGGAATTTTCAGGCTCTAGATAGGATAAAAGGTACATGTTAGGAAGGAGTTGATTTGGTACAAATATAAAATCATGGTGCAAGTTAGACAGCATTTGAATATTTTTTTAATGCCCATCTCCCGTCTTGAGTGTCCCAGCTCTACCTCTACTAGGGAGGTATGCTGAGAGACTGTCTCCTGAGTTTCAAATCTGATGATCAGCTGGAAGTGGAAGCTATTCGTATATCTTTTTAAAGAGAATTTCTTTTTTAGCCCATCTTGTAATTAAATTATTTTCCTTCTATACAATTGTTTGAATTGTAATCTAAAATTATATATTTTAGATGTCATGCCATTATCAGATATTTGTCTTGCACATTTGGGATCAAATCTAAAAATTCCTTGTTCATCAATACCATGAAGCTTTTCCCTGTTTCCTCTTTTTGTAGTTTTATAGCTTCAAATCTTATGTTTAACTGTTTAATATTGAGATGATTTCAGTAGGATTGAAGTTAATTCTTCTTCAAATAATTAGTATAATTCACCAGTGAAGCCATCAGGTTGTGAGCTTTTCTTTGTGAGTAATTTTTTGTTAATGATTTGATCTCCAGAAATTTTCTGTTTCTTCAAGATTCAGTTTTGGTAGGTTCTATGTGTTTAGGAATTTATCCATTTCTTCCAGAATAGCCTGTCTATTGGTGAATAATTTTTTATGATAGTCTTTCATGCTTTTTGTATTTCTGCAGTGTAGTTTCAATGTCTCTTTCATTTCTTTTCTTTTCTTTTTTTTTGTTTTTTCTCCGGTACCGGGAACCGAACTCATGACCTTGCGCTTGCCAGGCAGGCACTTTGCCGCTGAGCTAAATCCCCAGCCACTCTTTCATTTCTGATTTGTGGAGCTTTCTTTGTTGTTGTTTATCTTTTACAACCTTCGTATGTTTTATTCATATTTTCTATTTCTTTTTCTAGTCTATTTTATTTATTTTCTCCTGATCTTCACAATTTTCTTTCTTCTACTAACTTTGGGCTTTCTTCTACTAACTTTAATAGTAAGTTGTTTACTTGAGATCTTTTGTTTCTTGTTAGTATAGGCCCTTAATGATATAAAGTATATATATATATATATATATATATATATATATATACACACACACACACACACACACACACACACACACACACATATATATACCTCCTATAATGATTGTATTTCCATTCTTAATTTTGAATTTTAACTTCTTTTTGGCCCAGTGGTTGTTCAGGAGCATGTTGTTTAATTTTCATGTATTTTTTAGCCTTCTGAATTTCCTCCTGTTACTGATTTCTAGTTTTATACTATCGTGGTCAGAAAAGATATTGTTATTAATTTAATCATAAATTTGTGAGTACTTGTTTTGTGGCTTAACATATATGATCTGTGCCAGAGAATATTCTGTGTTTGAGAAAATGCAATATTCTGCTGGTGTTGGATGGAATGTCCCTTATCTATCTTTTAGATCCACTTGGTCTAAAGTAGTTCAAGTGTGATGTTTTCTTAATTATCTTATGTCTGGATGATATGGTCATTGCTAAAAGTGACATATTAAAGTTCCCTGTTATCATTGTATTATTATTATCATTATTATCAATGTTATCTCTGTATTATAGTTTAGGTTTCCTTCATATCTACTGACATTTTCTTTATATTAAGTCCTCCTATGCTGTGTCCTTATATACAATTTTCAAATAATGTATCTTCTTGATGAATTGAGCCCATCATCACTATATAATGACTGTCTTTATCTTGTTTTACAGTTTTAATTTAAAGTCTATGTAAATAGTCTGTTTAACTGTCCCTGCTCCTTCCCATTTAGTCTCTGTATATCTTTTTTGTTGTTGTTGTTGTTTTTTGTTTTTTGTTTTTTCTCCAGTACTGGGAACTGAACTCACGACCTCGTGCTTGCCAGGCAGGCACTTGGCCGCTGAGCTAAATCCCCAGCCCCGTCTCTGTATATCTTTATACATAAAATGTGCCTCTTATAGGTAGCATATAGTTGGATTTTGGTTTGGTTTTACCCATTCAGTCATGGTATGTTTTGATTGAAGAATTAAATCTATTTACATTAAAGGTAATTATGGGATAGGTAATAACTATGGCCATTCTTGTTTTCTGTATCCTTTGTTCCTTTCTTCTTGTGTTTCTTTGTGATTGGGTAATTTTTCTGGTGGTATATTGTAATTACTTCTTACTATTTGTGTATTTATGATAGGTTTTTGCTTTGTGATTTCCACTTTATGTTCTTATATATCTTATATTTATAGCAAGATAATTAAAGTGTTAACAACTGCTGTGGTTTGAATGTGGGCAGTGTACCCTGAAGACCTGTGTGTGAGAGGCTTAGTCCCCAGTTTGGCACTGTTGGAAATGCTATAACTGTTTTGAGAGGGAGCTTAGTGAGAGCTAAGTAGGCCCGAGGTGGCATGCCCCTGCAGGGGATTGTGAGTTCCTAGCCTGTCACCTCCCCTCTGCTTCCTAACTCAGGAGGTGCGCACTTTGCTCTAACATGTGCTATCTTTTGCTCTGAGCGGAGGCCCAAAGACATGATGCTGCCTCATCTTAGACTGGATCCTCCAAAATCATGGAGCTAAGTAAACCTTTTCTCTTTATATTATCCGAAGTGTTTTGTTGTAATGTGAAGCTGAATAATACAGCGTTGATCTCCTGCAAAACTACACTTTACGCCACTCACTTTCATTTTGTTTTGTGTTATAATTTATATATTTTGCAATGTATATTCCTTAAGAAATGAGTGCAATTATTATTTTAATGGATTTGTGTTTTGACTTTTTTTTACTAAAGATATAAAGGATTTCTATGCCTGCACAGTGGTATTAGAATATTCCAAATTTGATGGTATACTTACTTTTACCAATAGATTGTATCCTTTAATATGGTTTTCTGTTACTCATTAGTGTCTTTTTCTTTGAATGTGATGAATTTCCTTTAGCATTTCTCATGCGGACTGATTTGGTGTTGCTGAACTTCCTTCGCTTTATTTATCTGAGAAAATCCCTTTTTTAAAACTTTCTTTTTTTTCATGTCTGTGCAGCTTGCATTTTATTTTTTATTCACTTTTTCAGATTTTGCACTTGTTCTTTTTTTGAAAAAATACAATAAGATTTATAAAATAATAATAAACAACAATTAATACAGTTAGACAGCTTTGTTGTGTATAGTATTCTTGGTCACCAACTTTTTCTTTCAGTGCTTTGAATGTATCACCCCACTTCTCCCTCTTCTGTAATGTTTTTGCTGGGAAAGGAAAGGCTGGCCTTGTGAGGATTGTCTGGTGTGTGATTTGCCTGCTTTCTCTTACATGCACACACACACTCTGTGTGTGTGTGTGTGTGTGTGTGTGTGTGTGTGTGTGTGTGTAGTAGTTCTGGCTGGCCTTGAATTCACTATGTAGCCCAGGATTGTGTCAAACCTGTGGCAATCCTCCTGCTTCAGCCTTTCCGTTGGTGTGATTACAGGCATGTGCCACTACACTTAGCTCTCTTACTGCTTTTTAAAAATCTTTGATATTTGACAGTTGTGTTGTGATATGAATCATCTCCATTTGATTTCTGACAGTTTTATGTTTTGGTGCAGTCTTGTTTAGATTGACTTTGGGGACTTACATTTCATGTGTGTGTGTAGATTTTAGAATTTTACTGCTATTATTTTTAAAGAAGATTTTTATCCCTTTTTCTCTCTTTTGTCCTTTATGAGATGCTATAAATTGAATATTTGTTTTTGATGCCACTTCTTAAATTCCATAAGCTTTCTTCATTTCTTTACATATTTCCTAATTGTATGTTTTCAAATAAACTGACTTTTAGAGATTTTTCTCTGTAATGAAGTCTGCTTGTGATGTTTCCTATTACTGTTTAAAGTTTTATCCATTGTATTTTCAGCTCTAGAATATCTGATTGATATTTTTATAAAAAGTTCCCTCTTTGTTAAATTTTTCATTTTGGTAACATCATTTTTCTGATCATATTGAATTAGTTATCTGTGTTTTCCTGAAGTTCTTTCTTTAAAAAAATTCTTTAAATTTCTTGAATTCTTTGTCAGAAAGTTCATGTATTTCCATTTCTTTAAAATCAGCTATGGGGAAATTATGGTTTTTCTTGTCATTTTATCACATTTGTCCCCATTTTTGGTCTTAAACTCATGGTTATGCATTTAAAAGAAGGAGGGAGTCATTCTCATCTTTGGAGACTGGCTTTGTCTGCACAAGCCATTCACCAGTGAGCCGTCTGCTGACTCGGGGCAGGTTTTCTGGCGTGGTTCCGAGGAGGACTTGCTCCTGAAGTGTTCAGGTATGCTTGGCTGGGGCCTGAGTGAGCAGGTATGTGGGGCCTTGGTCTACAGGTTAGGTCTGCATCCCACATCCACTCGCTTGTCCCTGTTGCTTGGGTCCATGAACATGACCTTACAGCGTGGGTTCATAAAGGCAAGACTGAAGCTTTATCCCCAGGGGCCAGCCTGAAGCCTGGGTCCACAGCGGCTGACCTGGGACCAGGGTGGGCTTTGAGCCCGAGTCTTCAACAAATGGACAAGTGCTGGGGCCGGAGTGTTGTCTGGGTCTCCTGGAATGGGCCTGGGGGCTGAATCCACAGGGGCAGGCTTGGGTTCTGGGTCTGCAGAGGTGTACCTGGAATCTGGGTCCACAGGATCCAGCCTGGCATCAGGTATTCTGCAGTGGGCCTGGGCCGTAGATCTTTCAATGAGTTACGATATTGGCTGACCCGGAAGACGGGGCACATTGACCATCCTGGTGCCTGGTGTCAGTGGTGAGGATGAGGAACAGGGGTGAGTTTAAAGCCTGAGGCCGTGTGGGTTAACTTAGCTCTGAATTGTAGTTGGAGAAGCTGGACTGCACTTACTATGCCTCAACTTGAGTCTGTGGATATTAAGAATGCAGTAGGCTGGACTG